GAAATCATGAGCAGACACGGATTGGGAGAGGCAAATGACAACAGAGAAAGGTTCCAAAACTTCTGTACATTCAACAACCTGGTCATTGGAGAAACAATCTTCCCACATAAAAGGATTCATAAGGCCACTTGGGTCTCCCCGGACGGAACTACGGAAAACGAGATTGACCATTTTTGCACCTCCCGAAAGTTTAGACGCTCACTGGAGGACGTCCGAGTCTTACGGGTGCAGACGTCGCATCAGACCACCATTTGATCCTTGGAAAGATGAAATTGAAACTGAGAAGATATGCACACGGCACAACAGGAAATCGTCTAAAGTATGAAGCGAGCCTTCTGAAGGACCAAGTAAAGAAGAATGAGTTCAAGTTGGAGCTGAAGAACAGATTTCAAGCCCTTCAAGATCTGGATGAATGTGACGTCAACGAGCACTCGGACAAGATAAGAGAGACAATAAATGCAACTTGCCAGAGCACCCTAGGACCCATAGACAACACCAGGAATGAGTGGATTTGACAGGACTCTCTAGACAAAGCCAAAAGAAGAAGAGGGCTGAAGGCCCATGTCAACAACAGCCGTACCCGAACTGAGAAACTCGCTGCCCAACAAGAGTACGCCGAAGTAAACCGGGAGGTAAAGAATTCCATCAAGAAGGACAAGAATACCTACCTGAAGGGCCTGGCCGAAAAGGCAGAGAAAGCAGCAACAGACGGGCACTTGCGGATAGTACACTAGACTACAAAAACTCTTTCAGGTAGGTTCAGCAAGCCCACTCTACCAGTGAAAGACAAAGAGGGAAAGACTATCTTCAACCCAGAGGGGCAACTTAACCGGGGCAACTTAACCGATGGAGAGAACACTTTGATCAACTCTTGAATAGACCACTTCCAGAAAACCAAACAGAAATTCTTCCAGCCAGAAATGACCTCCTAATAGTTACGGAACCACTTTCAAGAGAGGAAATTGCAGCCGCTATAAAAACACTGAAGTCCCACAAGGCAGCTGGTCCCGACCATATACCACCGGAAGCCCTTAAGGCAGATAAAGATACGTTTGTGGATATTTTCTATACTCTATTTGAAAAGGTTTGGCAAAAGGAGGGAATACCATCAGACTGGAAGGAAGGCCACCAAATCAAGCTGCCAAAAAGGGGAGATCTCAGCAATTGTAACAATTACAGAGGCATTACACTCCTGTCCATACCTGGGAAAGTCTTTAACAGGATACTCCTGGAGAGAATCAAGCTGGCAACAGACGAGAAGCTCCGAGGAAACCAGGCAGGATTCCGCAAAAATCTATCATGTGTGGATCAGATCGCTACTCTGGGCATCATTGTCGAGCAATCGCTTGAAAGGAATTCACCACTCGTGGTCAACTTCATTGATCATGAAAAGGCATTTGACAGCGTGGACAGGGAAATTCTGTGGAAACTCATGCGGCATTTTGGAATACCTGACAAAATCGTCAAGCTTGTGAAGGCCACCTATGATGGAACAAACTGCCAAGTCTCCCACGAAGGACAACTCTCAGAACCATTCCAGGTACAGACAGGAGAGTGACAAGGATGCTTTCTCTCACCTTTTCTCTTCAAACTGGCAATTGACTGGGTCATGAAAGAAGCCACCAGATGCAAGCGTAATGGAATACAGTGGATCCCTTGGCAGCAGCTGGAAGACTTGAACTTCGTCGATGACCTTGCACTGCTCTCTCACACACACACATGTTCAGAAGCAAGGAAAGACCAGGGAACTCAACAGCCTATCAAATAGTGTTGGCCTTCGTATACATCCAGGCAAGTCAAATGTAGTGAAGCTAGGAGGCAGATGTTAAAGCAATAACCGCCAAGGCAAGGTCAGCATTCAATCAATTATCAAAAGTCTAGAAAGCATGCAACATTTCACTGCGTAACAAGATTCGACTCTTTAACTCCAACGTCAAGTCTGTGCTCCTCTACGGCTGCGAAACTGGGAAGACAACAAAGACAGTACTCAATAAAGTCCAGATTTTCATCAACATATGTATGAGGGGTTATTCTAAGAATTAAGTGGCAAGATAGAATAAGAAATGAAGAGCTGTGGGAAAGGACCGGACAAAAGGATATATAGAAGTAGAAATAGGACTAAAAAAGTGGCGATGGATAGGATACACCTTAAGAAAGCCCAGCGGAAACATCAAAAGACAGTCACTGCAGTGGAACCCACAAGGAGCACGAGGCAGGGGTAGGCCACGGGAAACGTGGAGGAGATGCGTGGAAAGGGACATGAGAGAGATGAAGCTCACTTGGAACCAGCTTGGAAGGATGGATCAGGACAGAGATAAATGGAAGTAGCTTGTATGTGGCCTATACCATGCCAGGGGTGAAAGGCATTGATGATGACTATATTTCCTTAGGGAAGAGACCCAAAGTCACCACCTTCGTCTTCTTCTGATACCATTTTCCCAACGAAGTGGATACACTCCTCAATACTGTAGTCCTATTAAGTTCTATGACAACACAGTTACGTTCTTTAGGTTCCCCGGGAAGGGCGCCTCTTTCGTACCTGAACCCAGAAAGTCAGTCTTTTCGGGTAGATTTTGTTCATATGCCATGTTTCTGGCATGATTATAATGTTAGCCATGACAGATTATGGTATATAATAATGACAAACGTGGGCCGGGTTAGAAGGACATTCTTGAACATTTTATAAAATACTCCGAGAGTTTTTTTGTCCCCCGAAGAATCATCCAAAAATGGTGTAATCGTAAATGCGTGTCTCTAAAACGCACTGATATCTTCACACCGTTTTAAATAGAATATTTCCAAGTAGATTTGTTCACATTGTAGGCCTAGAATCTACATAGCTTCTGCACGACGCAAAGACAATGAGTCATAAATACAAGTGTTTGCGTGACGAGTTACATCTTTTCGTGAACTAAAACGTTCGTTTCTCTTTGAGGCTCTATTTCCTTTACATGGTTAAGTCTGCGAAATACAACAACACAAGTATACGTTTTTAAAATTTAATTTTCATAGAAACTCTGATTCCAACTACTCTTACATACTTCGAACAGCGTACGAGTCACCCCACCCCCTGTACGATCCCCTTCCATGGGGGAGAGTGCAGGAAACATGTCATGAAACAGACATCATAATCATCATGAAAGCCAGGTTTAATGTTAGGGGACGTTCAAATATATAATCTTACGCCGGGAAAGGGGGGGGTGTCTTTGGCTCCTGTAAGAAAAGCGTTAGAAAAAGGGAGGGGGTACTTGAACCAATGTAATATTGCATACTTTGCTGCCCTTTGACTACTTTTGTCCCTCCTTGGTCAAGATTCGAAAGGCTGCAAAGGCCAAAGAGCGTGAAGAGGCCAAAAGGATGTGGAAAATATTGTCCAAGTATTGCAGCATTGAAGAGGCACAGGGCTTTACACAGGACGGAGAAAGAAATGGAGGTAGAGGAAGAATATGTGGAAGGGGATAAAGAGCAGGAACAGGGCCCAGATTTGGAAGACAGCTCAGCAAATGCCCCTGTTGTTAAAAATACTTTTGACATTATGATGAACACTGCCTTTGTTGATGATAACTAATTTCACTTTTGTTTTAAGCATAATGATCACTAATAACAGATACAGTGGAATCTTGATAAAGTCAACTTGCTTTAAGTTAAAGTCAACCCTTGCTTACAGTCAACGCCCCACTGTGGTCCCGTTTCTTACTTTCTTTGTTTCTGAGTTTCTGATACAGTCAACCGCTTGAGTTTTAACCTTGTGTAAAGTCAACAATTCCCAAGATGAATTCATTTAACTTAAGTAAAGATAATATTGTAGTAATAAAAGTACCCGTTCTACAAACGGAATAATAATGAAGAAATATTAGGAGAGTTAAAAAGAGGAAAAAGACTGAAAACAGGAAAGAAACAAAACACAAATATTTTACCTTGAATTCATCCATGTAGCACCCCCTCTTGACTACCTCTAGGGGTAAAACT